ACTTCTCAAAGAGGAGGCATTTCCACCCGGTAGATATCTGAGAGCATCCTTGATAACCTGCCTTTGTTACTCTCAGAACTCTCGAGGGAGGAAGGGACAAGAGAGGAGGGTTTTATTGCAGAAACACCTGATAAAGAAAGCAGACACCTAGCCGAATGTAGTGGCTCTGCCTATAATACCAGCATTTGGAAAGCTGAGACAAGAGAATCACTACAAATTTTAGGCCAGCTTGGGCTATAGTGAGTTCAAGGCCAACCAGGACTACATAGTGAGATTCTGTCTCCAAAAAAAAAAAAAAAAAGCCAGCAAGCAGAAACCCTCAGAAATCCCATCCTCAGGGCTTTTCTACCAGGACCATTTCAAAGCAACTGTATGCAGTTGCTTCCTCATAAAGTTCGCTCAGGAAAACCAGGAAGGCCCTGGGGAGCATGATCTTGACAGCTGGACACCAACAGGCATATCGGCGTGACCTGGTCCTTACAGGTCACTGAGCCCTTTGCTGTCTATCTCTGAGAGACTGTTTCTCTGGGAAGCCTCCTCCCTATCCGAGCCCCCTTTTGCTCTGTGCCCTGGCGGCTGCTCCTCACTTTCAGATCCATCACAATCACTGTTGGATCATTCAGCCAGCAGTCAGCAAACTGTCCGTGTGTCCCTTCACTCCACTCACAAATGCCGAGCGAGCTCACATTACAGCACAAGCCAGGCACTGAGCAGAACTGCATGAATACTTTAGTGAGCAGATATATACAATCCCTCCTTGCATTCCAGTCGGGGACACAGACACTGACCACAAAAGGCTTCTGGCATGCATTTCAGTAACATCTGTGTGAAAGCCTAGGAACCCGGGCCATGGGGTGGGGTGAGCTCAAACCTGGCCAGGCCAGGCTTCCCCGAGGAAAAAGCTGCTAAACTGAGACCTGCAGGCTGACTGGAAGCAGGCAAACACAGCAAAGGATGGGCATTTGGGCAGAGGGAGCTGCATATGAAAAGGTCCCACAGGCAGCTGGCTCTGTCGGTTGGGGGCACCTGTAGTGGACAGCACGATAGCGCTCCAGGGAAACATTCTGAGGACTCTGGCTACTGACTGGTAGCCTCTATCTCCCTTCTCTTAGGGTCCCCGTCTGCAGTAGAGCATTTGGGAGGGGCTCACCGGATGCAATCTGGAACTAGACTTGAGGTCACCCTCAGCTCTGGGCTCCATCCCTCACTGTGTGTGTGCAAATGGGCGACCTGGTGACCCCAAGTCCATTTTCCCTACCTGTTTAGAATGGGTGTGATACTATCATACAGCTCTCAGGCTTGTAGTGAGGGTTAAAGGAGACAATTCACAAGAAGTCACATGAAGTCATGATCACAATGCATGCTAAAGTAGCAGAGCTCAGCACAGCACAGCTAGTGTTGTTGCTATTAATAGCAGCACAGGGCCCCTGACCCTGGAAGTGCAGCCTCCACATGGCTAAATATGGAGTAAACCTTGAGCCAGAGAGGGTCTCCCAGCCCCTGCGTCCCTGTGGACAGTCTAAGCAACGATTCAGGTGGAAGACAGTCTGAATCCATCAAGCAAATTTGGGGAATGGACTTGAGTTTGTCAGTGGCACAGGCAGGAGAGCAGAGGACAGCTAAGATCCAAGAAGGTTTCTTAGATGACAGATGTGTGCCACCGGCTGTCCCCGGCCCCTTCCTCCTACCCTACCTCCTCCCACCCAGAAAGCTGGACTCTCTTCCAAAGGATTCCAGCAATGCTACTGGTAATGAGAACCCTATGAAGTTCCCCCTGGGCTAGGAGTCACGGGTTCTGTCTTCCCAGAAAAGCACCTTTGCCCCAGTGGAAGCATGCCTCTGAACTGATAAAGACTCACTATGTCCAGTTATGGTAGGAATATTGCAAGGGGGTGAAGCTATTTTTGCCACATGCTCTATCTTTCCAGCAGGCACAGCCACATTTCTTGGGATCTAAATAGCCCCAGCCGTAGAAGGTCATGGAGCTGAAGTCTGGAAGATCTGGCTCAGCTGGAGCCAGATTGGAGGTGCAGGGTTATTTACATCACCAGTTGAGGGTCCTAGGCCTTACACTGTCACCCTTTCCCTCTTGCCCAGCCTTGTTCCGCTCTCATAAGACTCCCCTTGGGCTGAATTCCCCCTGGGTCTTGAGTCTGGTGGCAAGTGATTATTTTTAGCCTATGATTCCTTGAGAATGAGGGTGGGCCCTTGCAGAGCAGGAGGAGGGAGGAGGAAGAGAAACTTGAGGGCCTTGGAGGGCTGGGGAGGACACAACCCAGCCCAAGGCTGCTTTCAGTCCTGCAGCAGCTTGCTGCAGAGCTGGGGTCAAGCCCCCTCCCTTCTGGGTCCTCCCAGCTCAGAACCAGTGGGGACTCAGGTCTCTGCGCTTCCCTTCTGTCTTCCGTGAGGGGCCTGCAGACCCAAGGGCTTTCCGTTCCCCTTTCAGCCTCTCTGTTCTTTGGGTTCCTCTACTCAACCACAGTGGGTCAGCACAAGACTCCGGGCTCTGCCTGGCTCTTGTCTCTGCAGAGATGTCCACAGGCCCATCCTCATGTTCCTCCTGGCACCAGAACAATGGGCACTTAATAAACATGGGCAGCCTGGAGGATGAGTTTCACTGCAACGCCCTACAGGAAGGAGCCTGAATCATGAAAGAACCAGTAAGAGGAAGTGATGGAGACCTGGAAACTCTTGCAAAGCTTAAGTCATCGTCCCTGGTTGCTAGTTCCGGAGCTTTTTCTGAGAAGTGCTCTGAGGCCTTGGGCCTCAGCTTTGTCTCCCTGGTCCGCAGGAGGTGTGATGCTTCAGTTCTGCCCTCACCTTCCCTCGACCTTCTCTCCTGCACACCCTGCCAGCCCCAGCCCGCCTGAGATGCTGGTTCAGCTGGTGCACATTCTGGCTCCACCACACACCAGCTGTGTGACCTCTGGCGAGACAGCCTGCACCCTGTAAGAAAAGCTGGGTGGGGTGGGGGCGTCCTGGGGACCAGCAAGAAGGTATGTAAATGGCCAGTGCATCCTAGGTGCCTGATGCATGGTTGTTTCTTTTATTATCATTCAAAAATGGTGCAGAAAACTAAGCTTTGTTTTTAACATCTTTGTAAACTCTGTACCTGATCATTCTTCCTATTTGTAGCCCGCTTTAATATTTTATAAAGCACTTTCACATGCATTAGCTCAGCTGATCCCCACACACCCCTGGAGGAGGCCAGAGTCACTCTTACAGGATTATTATTCCCATTACACGGATAAAGACACTTGGGCTGCAGAAAAGTATAGACCTGTCTTGCTCGCCTTCAGTTTGGTGCATTTAAGGCAGGGCCTGGCCCCGAATGGTAAGCACTCAAAGCAAAACAAAGCAAACCATTCCTGAAAGAATGGCTTACACGTTATCCATGTACCACGTGCCCCCTCCCCAACTGTAAAATGGGGACTAACACCACTGGCCATACAGAGGAAATGGAAATCCTACAGTCAGCTACATTTTTACCAGTTAGCAGGGAGTCAGACACATATCCAGAACACCTTCCCTCCTGTGGAAGAGAGAGCGACTTGAACTTGAGGACAATCATTGGGCAGAGCCTCTGACAGGGAGATGCCCAGACCAGATCTGCCGCGTGCTGGCACTCCAGGACTTTGTTTCTCTAGAGGAAGCTGAATGTGAGAGACAGACGGCGAGCACATGTGGGCCTCTGTGTGGGGTCATGGGAAGCAAGTCCCATAGGAAGAGAGAGGCGTCCAGAGCAGAAATGAAGACTCCTGCCTTGAGGATAAGAGTTCGCCGCGTTTGGAGGAGATGGGGTGGAGGTGGGTGAAAAGTTACAGGAGAACTAAAATACGTGCAATCCCTTTCTAGGTCAAAAATCATTTTATTAATTTATGGACATAAAAATGTATTATGTATAAGTTGTTTTTTCTCTGCAAATTATCACAATCAGTATATTACATTTCAAAGTATAATCCTTCAGATAATAATTATAAATCTGTGGCTTATTTTTAATTTGTTGAATTAAAAAAACAGAGCTATAGCTTTTGAGGGACTCTCTTACATGTGCAGGTTGATGAGTCAAGCTCTGCTTGACTTCCCCAAAGCCTCTGCTGCTTGGGGCGCTTCTGTGTAAGCACAGAACACACATCTTTAGGAAGGCTGCTGAGACTGTGGCGGAGAGCAAGCCCCAGCTCACCGACAACACCTGTTTCGTGGACATTATCTCATTATTGTAAGTGAATATTTTATTTGCTAGTAACTGTAGCATAGTTTTCTTTCAAAATAATTTATAATGCTTTGACAATCTTGAAACTGGGCTCCCAAAATCACAGAAAGAAAAGACGAAAGAAATAATTATTGCAGCCAATCTTGCTGACGATGGTAGCTCACACCTGCAATCCCAGCACTCGGGAGGCTGAGGCAGGAGAATCTCTGTTCAAGGCCAGCATGAACTGCATGTGAGACCCTATTTCAGAAAAAAACAAAACCAAAAAACCCCTGATCTTTGTCAGGACCTGTTATGAGTAAGACACTGTTTTAACCATAACAGAGGTGGCATTGTTACCCCTACTTGAGGAGGTAAAGCAACTCACCTGCCTGACTTTCCATGGGTACCTAATGGCAGAGTCAGGATTTGCACTCATGCTGAGAGCAGAGATGCGCATGCTCAGTGTGAAGCTCAGTCCTACTCACTGAGTCAAGTTACCCCTTGGGAGAGAACTAGGGCGAATGACCTCCTCCAGCCCAGCTGTCCCATGGAGCCACCTGGAACCCTCTTGCCCCTGGCTTTGTCCGCAGGCAAATATTTTTGTGGCTTAGATAGCTAATGGAAGCACACCAGTGCTCCTTAGATACCGCTTTAGGTTTTGAACTCAGGGTGATTTAAAATTCTTTGAACTTTCATTTGGAAGGGATCATTCTTTAAATCCCTTTATGGATCAGGAGGTCATAAGGGCAAGAAAAAGTCAATTTCCAATTTCCTCCTTGTTTCACATGTCTCCCACATGCTTCAGCTCGCTGTCTGCAGAGCAATAAGACCAGCTTTTCCTGGGCAGCTGCTGGTTCATCTCACTCGCCGGACCTGAGATGGCTGTGAGCCTGGCAGAGAGGGAGGCCTCATTCCGATCACCATCCAGCAAGCGATGAGGAACAGTGAGAGGGACAGAACCCTAGGGACCACGGAGCTGCTCCAGCAGGGCAGCAGACAGGACACCCCCAACAGCAAGACGGAAAGCCAGAGAACTCTGGTCTGCAAAGAAGTTCTCAGTGCTGCAATGGTGACTGTCCACGGTAAGAGCTTCCTGCCGCCTGAGGCCTGCCCATCTGCTTCATCAGAAATTGCACTGAGGTACCTCTTTTTTGGTTTTGTTTTATTTTGCTTTGTTTTGAGATAGGGCCTCACTATGCAGTGCAGGCTGTCCTTGAAGAGCTCACTTTGTAGCCCAGGCTGGCTTCAAACTCACGGCACTCTTCCTGCCTCAGCTTCCCAGTGCTAGGATTACAGGCATGTGCCACCACACCTGGACTTCTGAGTGACACTCGAGACCGCGGATGGACTTCCAAACTTTCCAGAGGATAGATTTTGATTTTGAGATGTTACTTCTGGAGAACAAAGTCTACCTGGTAGTGTTTGAACAATTTGTCTTATTCTTTGTGGAGATTTGTTTTTACTCTCTCTCTCTCTCTCTCTCTCTCTCTCTCTCTCTCTCTCTCTTTCTCTTTCTCTCTGTTGATTCCTTTCCTCATTGATGGGGATGGAACCTAGAGCCTCAAGTGTGCTATGCAAGTTCCCCAGCATAAAATGTCTTGTCTTTTTCTACTTTTTTTTTTTGAAACAAAGTCTCACTATGTAGTCCAGGCTGGCCTTAAATTTAACTATGTAGCTGGCCTCGAACTCACAATGATCATCCTGCCTCAGCCTTCCAAGTGCTAGGATTACAGGCATGTGCCTCTTCTTTCTTTCTCCTCTCCTCTCCTCTCCCCTCCCCTCCCCTCTCCTTTCAGAACAAAATGAGTACTACCCTCACCCCACACCTCCAGCTCCCACATTCAGGCCTCAGACCCTGAGGGGGAGGCAGGGTGGAGTCACTTCCTGTTGTGATCCCGAGGTAGGAATGTCCCTACACCCATCCTCCCTGGTTCCATCTGGTTCCTGGAGCCCTTCCCCAGCCACGATGTTGTCAGCCAGTTTCCACAACAACCAGAAAAGGCGGGCACAGCACCTACACACATACCCATGGTCAGACTCCAAACCCAGTGCCCTCCTGCCGCCCTGGTCTTCCGGCCTTCTGCAAACTAAGGCCTCTCCTCCTCGGGCCTTGCCATGAGTGGATCCCACTTGTACATTAGTTATTTAATGTATGTTTAAAAGTGGCCCATTTTCCCCTTAGCTTAAGTGTCTTTGCTGAAACACAAAATTTGATATCACAACCCCAACTGGAATCTGGTTTTACTAACCATAAATAGAAGGCAGCCACAGAAAGAAACGCAACAACACGGCATGAAGTCCCAGTTAGACGCTGTGGCCTGCTGTGGCTCCCAGGCCTGCGCTGTCTGCAAACCGGGAGACTGGCAGGCGCCAGGGAAGCCTGGAGACAAGCTGGCCTCCCCCAGGGCTTCCTCCTTGAGGAAGGGCTGGGTTCTTGCCTTGGGTTTTAAAGGCTATGACAGCGCTGTGTCACGCTCACCTGGGTGGCCTTTTGCAAGGCTGCACCTGCCTGTGGGTCCAGGGCTCTTTCCCACCTGCTCTCGCCCAATCCATAACCTCTGCCAGGCATCAGAGGTCCGCTGTGCCGCTGGGCCCTTACACTCCTTCCTGTGGGCGCCTACCAGGCCTCCTCCTTGTGCCCCGTCTGGGCACCCCTCTCAATCAGGCGCCATCCTGCCGGTTGGCTGTGAAGCCCGCGGCCTCCCCACTTCCCCGGGACGTGGCCTCCTCCTCCTGGGGCCTCCGAGGACTGGCCCCCTGCACTAGCATCCCCAGCCTCCTTCCTGCCTTCTCCCCTTGGCTCTCCATGATGCCATCTTGCAAATCCTTCACCGGCTCCCCAGGCTGGAGCTCGACTGGGGAATTTTATGAGCAACACTTGCTCCTCTGGAAGCACTGTTTCCCACGTCACCCACAGTCTTCAGCTCTGCTTAATTGCTGGGCTCCACCGACCCTGCCTCCCTCCCACTTCACGCCTCTCGCAGGCCACTCGCTAGCCGACTGGCTCTCTCAGGGTCCGGCTGTGTTGAGCTGTGCCACTGCTTGCTGACTAAACGGAAGTTACTCATCCTCCTCTCCTGTCAGCCCTACTCAGACTTTCTCCCTGCTCAGCCCTGAGTCTTGTCCTAAATTCTCTCTCCCAGTTGAGAAGTTCCAGGTCAATTCCCAGGAGCCATGCCTCCCACAAATCCTCCTGGACCACTCCAGCCTGCATAAAGTCCACCTTCTGTCATACTCATTTGTTGAATGAATGCATGCAACAGTGCACGTAGTAAATGCAGCATGAGCAAAAAATAATGACATTTAAAACTCAAGCAAACAACTTCGTGTTTGCAAGAGGGAAAACGTAGTTCCTGTGTCTCCACAAGATGTCTTTCTAACTCTCTATGGGGCTCTTCTCTTGGAAAAGCTGAAGGAGAAGAAACAACAAACTGAGATTACAAAGACTTTTTCCAGTTGGGCTTGAAGGCGCACACCTGTAATCTCAGAACTCAGGAGGCTGAGGCAGGAGTGTCAATGTGATTCAAGACCAGCCTAGGATACACAGTGAGTGGAAACCTGGGCTGAACTACATAGTGAAACCGCATCTCAAAACAATAACACAAACAAAACTAAAGATTTTTTTCCATTTGTCTTTACAGTAAAATGTAAAATACTAACAAAGAAGCCCTCTACTCTTTGGGACTAAGTATAGCTTCATACGGTACAAAATTTAAAGTGTGAGTCAGGCCCGGTGGAACAAGCATCTAATCCTAAAATCCCAATCCACAAGCATCTAATCCCTCAAGAGGCTGAGGCAGGAGATCACCCTGAGTTCCAGGCCAGCTGGGCTGCACAATGAGTTCAGGGCCGGCCTGAGCTATTCAGCAAGACCCTATCTCAGTGAAACTAAGCAACCAACCAAACGTCCCAAACCCCAAAGAGCAGAGGTCTTCATGGCCTATCATACTAACAAGTCTTTGTGCGGGAGTTGGGTTTAAGAGGGTACAGAGACTTCACTGGTCCAAACATCACACTGAGGAAAACTGCATTCCTGGGCGCCTGGGGAGAGGTGGGGTCTGGAAAATGCACCCTAAAGACAAGCGGCCAAGCACGTTCGCACAGAGGACTAGAGCCAGGCAGGGGAGGGTTCGGCTAGGAGCCTATCTATGGTCAATCAGTGACAGTCGCTTGCTTGTTGACCGCATAAAGCTGACTGCACTCATATCCCTAGAGAGCAAGTTGTCAGGGGAAAACCAAAACCAAAACAAAAAGTACCCCAGAATTGGAACAGCCTTGGGGAGAACCGTCCCAAGGTCTGGGGACGTAGGGAGGACAGAGGCTCCTACAAACTTGCAGGGCAAGTGAAGGGCACTGGGCTCCCCACACAAGGAAGGACCAGGTTCCTGCCAATTGTACTTAATCTCAAAGGACACGGGACGCTGGCTGACACTGGCGTTAAAGGAGTTGCACTTCACCATCATCTTTTTGGCTCATTAACCCTGCCTTCCTGACTACGCTGCAGGCTTTCACAGGCCAGGCCGGGGGCTCGTCTCTTCTCACACCTACCCAGCCAGTAACGTGAAAGCAGTTCGGCAGTTCATCAAACACAGTCATAACTCTGAGCACTGTCACCAAGCCTCTGTCTATGAAACTGTGAACTGTCCCCTTAAAAAATAATTTGCCACTTTCCTTCCAAAAAGTCTCCGGTAAGTTCTATTAGACTGTCTCTATGATTTTGGCTACTGTAAGTGCCTCACATAAGTGGAATCATGTATTAGTTGTCTTTTTTTTTTTTTTTTTTTTTTTTTGGTCTTTTTGAGACAGGGTTTCATTATATGGTTCAGGCTGGCCTTGAACTCACAGCGATCCTCCTGCCTCAGCCTCCTAAGTGCTAGGATTATAGGCATGTACTACCGAGTCTATTTATTTATCTTTCTGTGACCAGCTTACTGCACTGAGCATGTCATCAAGGTTGGCCCGTTGTGTGGCACCTGTTGGAACCTTCTTCCACTTTCAGATTGAACAGGGCATGTATCATATTTTGCTTATCCATTCCATTCACGCATCCCTCAGTAGATGCTTATGTAGCTTCTGAGTTTTAGCTCTAAAACATAATGCTGCCAGGAAGATGGAAGAGCAGGTATCTCTCCAAAACTGTCTCCTGTTTTTGGCACACATCGGGAAGCGGTGCTGCCGGGCTCTATGCTCATTCTATCGTAATATTTTCAAGAACTACTAGACCGTTTTCCGCAGTTGGATTATTTTACTTTCCTTCCAGCAGTACGTGATTTTTCTGGGTTCTGATCTGCTCTTTCTTCCTTCTTTCCTCCCTTCCTTCCATAGCCATTCTGGATATGAAGCGACTTCTCATCGAAGTTTTGATTTCCATCTCTCTAATGATTAGTAAGGTAAGCATCTTTTCATGTGTTTACTGGCCACTTGCATATCTTCTTTGCACAAATATCTATTCAAGTCCCTTGCTCATTTTTAAACCAGAAAACAGCCCACAAGACGGAGAACACACAATCGGGCTGCCAGGAGCCTCAGGTGTCCTGGACCCTCACTACCACTGTGCCCTTTTTGGGCGACCTTGGTGTGAAGCCCTTGACTAATCCAGCTTCTGTTTCCCTCTACACCCTTCATGAACAGCTCAAGGAGCCACAGCACAATCTTTATGGCAGTCATATTGGCAGGATTATTGTTCAAATAAGGCCGTTTCTAAATAATTCCCAACCTCCTCAGATAGGAAAGTTGTAATGGGCGAAGACTGGCATCGTTGGGGAGCCCAGCAAACAAGATTGCCATAGGCCTTTGCAACTGTTTACCAAGGTTCTACTGGCCTGGAACCAGTTCCAAGTCAAATATATGCACAGAAAGGAGGTTCAAACTCCCCTTGGCAGGCCAGCCCTGGCAGGTTCACTGCCTCCACTGGAAGATAAGGAAGCAAAATTAGTTAACACAGTCACAGGAACATGAACAGGGAGTGAAGGATTAACCTCATTAGATCAGTCTTTCCTTGCTGACTTCTTAAAGGCTCCAAGTCACCAAATTTGTGCCACATTGAGGGTTTGATGATCTGCCAGAGACACACATTTTGCAAATGACATGGTCTTCTAACAGTGTAGGATTGTTGGGGCTCATGGATGAACAAGTTAGCCATTTGTTTGCCGTCTCAGATTGATGGTGTGACTTGGTTTCATTATTTGTAAGTGAACCAAGTCCATGCTGTCTATTAATTTGTTATTTCACAGGTCCTAAATGAGAATCATAGGTCTGAGCGGTTGTTGCAGAAATAAGTAATATACAGGCTGTATTTCAGCACTGCTGTTGTCTCTTGCAACCTGAGTTCTTGGTAGTACTGTAAAAGTTGGCTGCTGAGCTGAGGAGTTTAACTCAGTGGTAGACCACCCATACAGTGAGAGAGAGAGACAGAGAGACAGAGACAGAGAGAAAGAGACAAAGAAAGAGAAAGAGAGAGAGAGGTTGAGAGAGAGAGAGAGAGAGAGATGTATAAATCTGTGGTCTTTCTTAAACCACAAAAGAGGTTTTAAATAAATGGTAGGAGGGAGGATTGGGCTCCATACAGGCTCAGATCCTAAAAGTGACACCAAATTCCTGAGCACTATTAACAAAAAGCAATTTGTAAAACCATTTCAAGCAGTCAACAACAACGATCACAATAACAAAACCAAAAGCTTGACACACAAGAGAAGAAGTACCTCTTGAGATGCTGAGAAGCATTTTGGCCTGTTGCAGGACAATGTGATGGGAATGAGGTCCTGCAGTGAGACACTTGGGCAAGCTGGGGAGTCTGGTCTCGTCCACCCCAGCCAGACTCCACCCCAGCCAGCTCATCCTTTTACTCTTTTTTTTTTTTTTTTGTCTTTTTCATTTTTATCGGTACCGGAGATTGAACTCACGACTGCCTGCTTGCAAGGCACATGCTTATGCCGCTGAGCTAAATCCCCAGCCCCTAGCTCATCCTTTTACCTACCTCCACTCTCAGCCCAGCACTGCGGGATGTCATGGTGGTGGGTCACCTAGTGGTCAAAAGGATTACTGCAAGTAATTTGCCCAGAGTTTCTGTTCTAGTTTTTTTTTTTTTAACCTTTTATTCATTAACTGATTTATTCAATGAGTTGTCATATGACTGGTGTTGAGACTATAATAGAGAACAAGGTAGATACAGGTATTCCTGCAGGAACCTTATAGTCTAATGGTGAGAATCAAACACATACATACAGTGTGAGTGGTAGGATCCAGACCCAGACCCATTACAAGGAGGTAAGAGAACACTGAAGGGGGTACCGAAGCCAGATCTGGTGTTCAGACTTGGCTTTCCAGAGATCCAGAGGGTGTGTTTTTCAAGCAAAAGAGAAAAAGGAAAACATCTTAGTTGCCTTTCTCTTTGCTGGGACAAAATACCCAGTATCCACAAGGTAGAGGAGGAAAGCGTTATTTTGACTCAGTCTGTAAAGGTTTCAGTCTGTAGTCAGCTGGTTCCAAGGCAGGGCAACATCATGGAGTGGCATCCTGGAGAAGGCAGCCCATGACAGGCAGGAAGCAGAAAGAAGCAGCTCTTCTCTCCTCTTTTGTTGCATTCGGGGTATAAACCTCCAGGTTGGTGCCATCCATACCCACAGTGGGCTTCTGTCTTCAGTAAATCCATTCACCCACATCTTGAAGTATACCGAAGCAATCAGCAGGCTAATCTGATTATAATACACTCTTGATCTATATTCACCCTAGACCCAGCCATCTTTGAAAAGCCCCAGCTATGAGTATGTGAGGCGTCTGGGGGACATCTAGACACAAACCATAACAAGAAGGAACAGCATTTGCACAGAGGACACAGCATGCCTGAAAGCTAGCCATCAGCAAAGCTGGGCTAGATCATATTGGGTGTTAGGCTTTGTGAAGAACTTTGATCTCTATCCTTGAGGCTGTATGTGTATCATTCCTTCTCTGGGAAAAACAATGAAAGCCTATGTAGAATTTCACTTCTCCCCGGCACTGGCTTACAGCTCTCACCCCTACCAGTTCATACCCTCATAACTGCTCTCTGAAGAGTAGTTAGGGAGTTTCTTTCTTTCTCTTTCTTTCTTTCTTTCTTTCTTTCTTTCTTTCTTTCTTTCTTTCTCTCTCTCTCTCTCTCTCTCTCTCTCTCTCTTTCTTTCTTTCTTCTTTTTGTCTTTCCATGTATAGGTATGTATGTATGTATGTATGTACATATGTAGGTTTGTGTGTATTTTGAGATAGGGTCTCACTATGTAGTTCAGGCTGGCCTTGAATTCACTATGTAACCCAGAGTGGCCTCAGACTTGCAGTGACCCTCCTGATTCAGCCTCCAAAGTGCTGGGATTAGAGGCATAGGCCACCAGACCCCTAATTATTGTTTATTGTTTTCTTTTCATGCTGAGTTGCTCATTCACAAGCCCATGGTCTCTTTTTCTTCTGTCAGCAGAGAAATCTGTCAGGTGTTTTTTTTTTTTTTTTTTTTTATTTATTTATTTATTTTAATTGTTTTTTTTTTTTTGTCTTTTTCCTTTTTATCGGTACCAGGGATCGAACTCACGACTGCCTGCTTGCAAGGCAGGCGCTTATGCCGCTGAGCTAAATCTCCAGCCCCAGGTGTTTTAATCACTCTTGAGCTGAGGGAGAACTTCAGCACCGGCAAGCATGGATCTGGCAACACCAAACCCGTTTCTAGGGCCGAAGTCCTTAGTGGGCAGACAGCGGCTACTGACAGGGTGAAGTCCTGGAATCTCATGGCTCAGCGGCCTCTGGAGCACTTATTTAACCAAGGTGCTTCCCAGACACACTGGGTCAGGGCTCAGGGTTGCGGGGGAGGCCCCAGAATGCGCACCTGCACTCAGGCGGTCCTGCAGCCCATCCGGGACCACACCGTGCAGAAGGCAGAACACAGAGCTCTCCTGCGGCCCACTCGCAACTCCGCCTCATCGTGGGTGTGTTGTGACTTTCCCTTCTCGGGTCAGTGACCTCATCTCCTCAAGCCACTGCTTCCCATTTCTTGAAAATGAGAATAATAATCATAAAACCTACCTGATAGGGTTATTGAGATTAGATGAGATTATGTGTAGAATGTGCTTGGCACAGAGTCTGGGTGAGACTCTGTGAAGGTTAAAGAACAAAAACGGTCTCTGAGTGCATTTCAGTCATAAAAGGTTGTGTGTGTGTGTGTGTGTGTGTGTGTGTGTGTGTGTGTGTGTGTAATAGCAGGGTTCAGGTCCAGACAATCAAGGACTGGAATTTAGAGACACGGGTTGCAAGGTAGGACAATTGTCTCACCCAACAAGAGGACGAAAGCCGGTCAGGGAAGCTGTTGCCTCGGGCTGCCCAAAAGCAGAAGGGTAATGGGGGCGTTAAGTGCACCGCAAAGGTAATGGAAAGGAAATCGCCATGAAATGTTCATAGTCCGATGCAAGCTTAACTGCCAACCCTGCACAGCAGTTCTGCCTCTTGCCGATACAAACCAGCCTAAGTAAGAGAGAAAAAAAATTTTTTGTCTTTTATTGAAAAAGCCAGGAATAGGTAAGAACTTCAGGTACGACTACATCCAGTTTAAACGATGTCATTAGAAACCAGTTTCTAATTCTCGGCTCCACTTCCTTCAGATGCAGCTTAGTTCTCAGGTTGCCTTGCTCTATATTGTGGCAAAAAGTCCACCAGCAAAGTGAACCTCTGTCTATAACAGCTACAACCAAGATAGCAACGGCTGTTCTCCTGATATCTCCAGTAAAAATCCTGGAGCTGCCATTGATTGGCTCACCTTGGGTCACAGGTCCACTTCTGAACCAATCATGTGATAGGGGAAATGGAATGTTCTGATTGGCCAGGCCTGTATGACGCACCCAATCTTGCATCTATGGTTGCGTTAGTCCCACCCATGCTACATGGACTAAACAGAAAGTCTTCTCTAAGTGAGAATAGGGACCTTAAGGGGCATGGTGACCCTCATGCTTGGGAAGCTGAGGCAAGAGGATCACCATGAGCTGAATCACGTAGGGAGGCCGTCAAGGCCAGAGTGGACTGAATTACATAGAGAGACCCCATCTCAAAGAAACAAAAAGTAAAAGAATAGGGACTTTGTTTCTGGAAGAAAGAGTGAGGACAAGCAAAGCAAACTGTCCTCCGTTTGTCCATGTGGAGACACCTCTGTTACCAGCTGTCTCTTGAACCAGGCTGTCCCTGGGCACCTGGATTTGCTGCAGCCTCATAGGCTGGGCCCTTGGACAGGGATTCTTGTTGCCATGGACAGCCCCGGTGCTCACTGAAAAAGCAGTTCCTGGGGCAGCTGCTGAACGGACCCCAGTGACACTTGCTGAGCATTCTCTAGAGGCTGGAAAGGATGAACAAAATCAGGATCTTCAAGGAGGAAGCGACAAGG